AATTCATTTTCTTTTTCAAGAAATAAGACTATTTTCTTGTTATAAAAGCCCTTTTTTCTATGGTCGTTGGTATAAAAGCTTTAACACATAATAAAAAACGTTTTGCTAGGAAGTTTTTTCTTTTCTTTTTTTTTTAAAATAAATTTCATAGTCAAGTTTAGGTACAAACTTTACAAACTTATTTTTAAATTAGTAATACTATACTTATAGTATCAAGTAAAATTGTAAATTTATAATTCTATATAATATTTAATAAAATATGATGTAGAATTAAACAAGTGAATATATATATTATCACAGATTGACTCTTAAATAAAAATAACTAATTATATAATAATATATCATGTTAAAAGTTTACAATATCACATGACATTATAAGTATACCATTTTTGTTTACAAATTGAGTTTTAAATAATAAGATAAACAATGAAAATAAAAATATATATAATAGAGATAACGTTCGTATAATTCAAACAAATTATTTACTATTTATTTTAAAGTTTAAATTTATAGTTTTTTTTATGGGATTAAATTTATAGTTTTAAGTTTTGATTATTTAAAATCATTTGAAATATCCTTATGTTATTATTTCTTCAATTTTTTTTTTTATATTGATTGTATAACGAGAGGCAACCATCTCCTATTTCTTATTACACCCCATCCGCATGCAATGCAACTCAAACTTAAGATCTTTTATTTTCAACGAAAAATGATTACCACTTAATTATTTAAGTCGTTGCCTTCTTCAATTTTAGTTATATAGATAAAATAATTTATTTATAAAGAGGTTTCTGTAACATTAAGGCCTTATAAATTGAAAAAAAAAAACAAAACAAAACAAAACGAAAGGTGAAACCCCATAACTTAAAAGTTATGGATTAAACTTTTGTATATAATAAATCTTTTTTAAGATTTAAAAAAAATTATATTATATTTAAGCTGAAATATATGCACCATATACAATTTGTGTAGTATATTTGTAATTTACTTTCTATCAAGAAAAAAGAGATAAGCATAATGAAATTTGTAAATTAATTTAAAAAAAAATGAAATTTTAGTTATTCTCCATGCAAAACCATTTCATAAACTCCCAGATTACGCCATTTCAGCATATAAGCCCCGATCCTAACTAAAAAATAAGCAAATAAGTCCCAAAACCACACAATTATAGCAAACTATACCAATCTTAACTTATATTGTTAGTTTCCACTAAATTCAACTTACGTGACAATTTAAAGAAATGGTTGATGTTAATGCATCAATGTGGTGAT